AATTTTCTTTAGTTGGCCAAAAATTTGGATTAAGAATCTATTAATTTTTTTAACAGGAGTTTGTAAATGAATATTTTGCTTAGACTAGTTCGCGTTATCGTACTATTTCGCCTAATTCGGATTTATCTTCATTACCGTTGGATATTCTAGATTGGAATAGAGGGAGCTTAAACCTAATCGTTTTACATCCACATCGTTTCGTTAGAAAATAGGAAGGATTTGCCCTAGGAATAACTCTATTTATGAGTTGTACTATCCCATTATCTAACTAATAAACCGGATAGCGTTAATAATCTTCTATTCAGTCAGTAATTTTCAACGTTCAAATAAACAAAAGACGATCCTTTTCCCTTTGTCTCAATTAAATGAATTCAAGTTTGATAACCGTTTACCTACTGAAACAAATGAATCCATTTATTAAGCCCTTAACATAATTCATATGCAAGGGGTGGGTTGTGTAAAAAAAAAATCAAGAAATTTATACCATTCGATTAATTAATTATGTTAACGAGGAATATTTGTTAATATTTTTTTTCAGCCAAGGCTACGGCATCCGCTGTGAAAACAGTTACGGCAGCAAAACCCAAACCCCAAAAGGCACCACTGAAGAGACAATTTTCAACCCTTTCGATGCACTCTCATCGCTTATCGTTAGCAGGTGGATCCGATGCTGGGTCTGATGTCGGTCTGGAAGAACATGAAAAACCCTACGATGCACCGATGAGTAGGATACTTGGGTTGAACAAAACGGAATGGCCCTACAATTTAATTGGTTAGTCATTCCAATGATTTATTTTCTTTAATTTCAAATTTTCACGTCAGAATTAATCAGGGAATTGTTATTTCAAAACTAATAAGCCCGCAATCATTTTTCATTAAAATGAGAGAAGAATAAATGTGCGATTTAAAATAATAACGCAAGAGGTTTAATGATTTAAATTGAAAGTATTTTCGTAACGAACTGATTGGAACACAATGTTCATGCAAATGGGTCTTTGAAAGAATCGTTTTATTCACTAGCAACCTTTCGTATCTCTGAACGACTCTTTTAGACGACGTAAATGTTTTTTACGATATTACGAAGTTACTTCTTCCTTCCTTTCTCTTTTACCCCGGTAAGTTAGAGAGGAAAGTTTTAATCCGGAAGGAAAGAAAAGTAGGAAGGAAGGAAGGAAGGAAGTAAGTTTTACGAGCTAAACTGTCTCCATTTCCTTTCAGGATGTTTAGCAGCTGGCACAGTAGGAGCATCATTTCCAGCATTCGCAGTTTTATTCGGTCAAGTTTATTACGTATTGGGTCTTCAGGATGAAAACGAAGTCAGAGAACAAACAATCAACTTTGCTATATTGTTCATAATAGTCGGTGTGGTAACTGGAATAGGAACCTTCCTCCAAATGTATATGTTCGGTTTATCCGGAGTAAGGATGACAACGAGGATTAGAAAGATGACGTTCGGTGCAATGTTGCATCAAGAGATGGGTTGGTACGATGACGAACAGAATAGCGTTGGTGCACTTTGCGCAAGATTGTCTTCGGATGCTGGAGCCGTGCAAGGTGCTACCGGAAGTAGAATAGGTGCTATACTTCAAGCATTGTCAACTTTAGTTCTTGGAATTGGATTGTCCATGTATTACACCTGGAAAATGACATTGGTATCCGTGGTTTCGATTCCACTCGTCTTGGGTGCTGTATTCTTTGAAGCTAGAATTATGAGCGGACAGGGACTTCAAGAAAAGAAAAAAATGGAAGCGGCTACCAGGATTGCGATAGAAGCAATTTCGAATATCAGAACAGTTGCGAGTTTGGGCAAAGAAACGGCGTTCTTTGATCGATATTGCATCGAACTCGATCACGTTGCTCAAGCTACTAGAACGAGAAATCGATTGAGAGGATTGGTCTTTTCCTGCGGTCAGACTACGCCTTACTTTGGTTACGCTTTGAGTCTCTACTACGGTGGTTACTTGGTAGCTAGGGAAGGTCTTAGTTATCAAGATGTCATCAAAGTGTCGGAAGCACTCATCTTTGGTTCTTGGATGCTGGGACAGGCATTGGCATTCGCTCCTAACTTCAACACCGCCAAAATATCCGCTGGTAGGATCTTCAGATTATTGGATAGGGTGCCTGAGATCTCATCTCCTCCTGGCTCTGAAGGGAAAGATTTGGATTGGGTAAGAAAATATGATATTTTTCGTTATTTGAATATTATACGATTCAATGAAATAATATAAAATAAAAGAAATTATCGTGTACATTAAATTGTAGAAAATGCATAAAAAACTTTTAGGACTATCTGATGAAATATTTCAAATATTTTATAAATCTGAGGATATACAATTTGTATTTGGAATTAATCAAAATCGGCAAACGAAGTATTAATTTATAAGGAGACCTTACGGTTGTGCCCTTACGGATTTTAACGAGCTTTGGTATATTAGTAGTATACTAGTAGGGTGTTATCGTGGTAAAGTATTTTATCAAAATGCGAAGCCAATTCTGAGAAAAAAGCTGTAAGAGTTTTGATTTTTTTGTATACATATTTATATTATCTTAAATGGAAATTAAGTGGCGCGTTAGCGTAAGTAGTAACGTGCTCGTTTCTCGTGCTGCTAGTTTGTGGTTCGATCCTTCCTGGGGAAAGTTTTTTTTATAATTTTTTTCTATCCATGAGTTTTAACATATTTATTGTACATTTATTAATATTTATTAAACGCAGTTTCCAGATTGATAGTTATCGTAAAAACATTAAAAACAATAAATTTTTTAACATCTTGCGCAAATTATAAAGAAAAATTGATTACTTAAATTACAGTTAACATTTTATTTTTTAACAGGTATATGAAAATAGATAAATCTTCAATATACTAACAAATAATAATCCTATATATTCTAATAATTAATTATTTCATGTGTAATATATCTGTTAAAAAATAAAATGGTAACTGTAATTCAAGGATTAAATTATTCTTTATTATTTGCGCAAGATGTTAAAAAATTTATTATTCCTAATTTTTTTGTAATAAATAATTTTCTCTTACTTGCATATATTTAAAAATTAAGAATTATGAATAAACAATTTAAAAATAAATAGAAAAAAAATTATAAAAAAATACTTCCCCGATGCAGGATCGAACCACTAACTAGCAGCACGAGAAGCAAGCACGATACTACTTACGCTAACGCGCTACTCCGTACACAGTCGCATTTAAGATAATATAAACATATTTACAAAAAAATCAAAACTGAAAGCTTTTTTCTCAAAATTGGCTTCGCATTTTGATAAAATACTTTACCACATTAACACCCTAAAGGTATACTACTAATATACTAAAGCTCGTTAAAATCCGTGAGGATACAACCATAAGGTCTCCTTGTTAATAGAGAAAAAAATAAGATAAGATTAAATACCGGAAGAAGAAGAAAAAAGAAAAAAGAAAAAAAAAAAAAGAAATGATAGAATATATTAGTTTACGAGTTGAAAGTTAAACGGCATTATAGAAGGTTAATAAAATAGTCAAAGTAATTTGTTTGGAGTCTTCGCGTAAAGTAACTTCGATATAATTAAGCTCTCGTCGTCGGTCAAAGTCGAGACATGTATAAAATGAAAGGTTTTTTTCGTGGTCGAGATGAAAGTTTCGAGTTTTAACCCAACCCTAGGTTCTCTTTCATTGAAGGTCCGAGAAGTTTTCAGTTAGTGGTGGTGGTGGTGGTGGTGGTGGTGGTGGTGGTAGTTCGCTTTGAACGTCAAACTTTTCTATAAAGCGATCGAGGAAAGAATTTTCTAAATTTATCCGAGAAAAAGTCGATCGAGCGTGACGTTGAATCGTTCACGTTGTAAAATTTCTCTCTCTTTCTCTCTCTCTCTCTCTCTTACTTTGATATTATGCGAACGCTTTTTACGACGTGTCGAAAGTATTTCACAGTCTTTAATCTACGATGAAAATGTTGCTGGATTATTAGGTTATGTAAAATACCTAAGGTGGAAAGTAAAATTGAAGTATTTCAGATTCAACCATCGTTTATTTTACGAAGTGTTCGATAAATCATACACCCCCCCCCCCCCCCCCGCCATCATTTATCCCCCCATACACTCTATGTACGAATATTTGTCAATTATACCTACCTGTTGCATTTCGGTATTATAGATCGATATTGTCTAGGAAAATAACTTTATATCTAGCATGAAAATCTCGTTGATATTCATGATGTAACCGAAATAATTATTAATCTTTTTATCAACCTAATACACCATCCACAATTCTAAAGTGTTAACACGTTCATTGTCTAGCCAGATTTGCATGATGTTCTTAGCAAACTATAAAAGGATAAAAAAACATATCGTATTAAATTTTAATTAATACAATAGTGTTAAAATGTTTTAATTCCTTACAGACCGCTAGCCGAATAATCGGATTATCCTTTTCTTTAGAATATGTGCATAAAATATTTGATTTAAAGATGCGTCGAATTTTTGCTAATTGTAAAAGGAATCTCTATAAAAGTTTTATTTATTTAAACATTTGAGAGATATATTTCAGTCAACGATGGCCGAATTTATCTCTATCCAGGAAAGTTAAAAATTGAAAAGAAATATTTTGTCGTTTTTATTTGCAGAAGGCAGATGGGCTGATACAATTTTCAAAAGTAGAATTCCAGTATCCAACGCGCTCGGAGATGCAGATACTTCGTGGTTTGAATTTAATAGTAAAGCCGGGTCAAATGGTCGCTCTGGTTGGTCAAAGTGGCTGCGGAAAATCAACCTGCATTCAGTTACTCCAACGTTTGTACGATCCAATATCTGGAACGGTTACCATGGACCGTCGTGACATCTCCTCGGTTTCATTGGCTTCGCTAAGATCCCAGCTTGGTGTTGTTGGTCAAGAACCTGTTCTATTTGACAGAACCATAGCAGAGAATATCGCCTACGGGGACAATTACCGACGTGTACCCATGGATGAGATCATCGAGGCAGCCAAAAAATCAAACATTCATAGCTTCGTCAGTTCCTTACCTCTGGTGAGACAAACATAATCAATATCAATTCGATAGATATAAGATCATTCATATTTTGTATGAATTCATTTTGTCAGGATTGCGAAATATTTAACCAGTTAAGTGTGTTTGACGACTATATCCGTCATGAAAGAATGGCAGAATTTTGTGTGTTTGACGGCTATATCCGTCATGCGTAAAATTTTCATACAATTTGATATTTAAATTGTAATTCTAGCGAAAACTAAATTATATTCGTAAATATTAATATGTTTAGAATGTTTAGGGGTCAGGACGAAATGAAATAAACAAATGAAAATTATAGATAATTTGAGTTGGACACTAGATCTTTGATTATCCCAATTTTTATCTTGACGTGTCATAACCAAAAAAAACAAAGTATATTAGATTCTCCATTTGCGATGATGTCCGCGATGTCTAACCAAGGAAAAAAAAAAAAAAAATTTTTTTTGTTTGTTTGTTTGTTACATATTTGATTTTTTTTAAGTTTTTCGTTAATTCTGTGTAAATATAGCTTTACGTTGATCCATTGTTTAAATATTACTCATAAATTCATTCATTTTCTAAAATAAAGTCGTTTTCTTGACCGAATATTTGAACAGCGCCACTTACTTTGTGTTTGACGACTATATCCGTCATCGGTTGATTATCGGGACACACACTAGGGCGCACTTTGCAAAATGATCGACACAGTTAACTGGTTAATACAAATTTTGTTAAACTAATTTAAAAAAAGATAAACGATATTCCTTTTCCTTTGACTCAACACGTTTCGTATTACCTATGCTAACAATTTTCTATTTAAATTCTGCATGTTAAGAGTAACAGAAGATAATATCATTTTTGTTTAAAAATAAATTTGAAATAAAAAAAAATAAATTAGATGAACGAAATGAAGTAAAACTTTTATACAAATTATTGAGAGAGATACGAGAAGATTGGGATGATGGTACCTCCCATTTCCAAATGTTATTCCAATAGGTTTGATATCGCGTATAGTTAAGTTAGAATGAAGTTAGTTTAAGTTCTTACCTTGAAGTTTCTCATAGAAGTGCAAGATAGTATGGCAACGTGTTATAAGTTAGCTCATTCTCCTCTTTAGGGTTACGATACGAGACTAGGATCAAAGGGTACGCAGCTTTCGGGAGGTCAGAAACAGCGCATAGCTATCGCACGTGCTTTGGTAAGGAACCCACGGGTCTTGCTCTTAGACGAGGCAACCTCAGCCCTTGACACTCAAAGTGAAAAGGTAAGAAGATATTCCTATCTCTCTTTATATACCTCTTCGTCTAGTTTTATCATAAGATTTTAATCTCTAATAAGAGAAAGATAAGATAATACAAATTTAATCTTTCTCTTTTCACGAAATAATACTCTAATTCGTTTTGATTTAATTAACTCACACCAGCAGGGCGGTGCCCTTAATACTTTTCTCTTTCTAATTATTTTTCTTTTATCAAACACGTGTGTGTTTTTCCTTCCTTTTTTTTTAAGTTATATTTCTTTTGGACGCGTTTTGTAAACTGAAGTTAGATGCGACCGAAAAATCGACACCACGAAGTTGCCGAATGCGATTTCAAATTTACGGCATGAAAGTAGTCTTCTCTTTTTCTTCCTCTTTCTTTTTTTTTCTCAAGCGGTCACCCATCCAAGCACGATCAGCGCTGCTTGACTTAAATGATCGAGCAGGAACTAGTGCTGTCACTGCACCATGACCGTTGACGCATGAAGTTATTTGATATAACTATTTTATGATTACTGTGGACTGATATTTATATTTGGATATTTTTGACCAGGATACATTTAAATTTCTATTTCAGTTTTAGAAATTTCTAAAATTAATGCAGAGAGAAGTGTAATGTTTATTACTATAGTTATAAAAATATATTTAAAAGAAAGTATCCATCACAAAAACAAACGTGGAACGTTGTAAGGCATATAGGCTACGAAAAAAAAATGTTTCGTTACGTTAAAAAAGTATAACTTTTTACGTGCGTACATAAGTACACACACCAGTTGTTGTTTTTTTTTTTAAATAAATCTGATTAAAAGTATAATAGAAAAAAAGAAGATCGATTATATAAAATTGTTATTTACTTTAGTTTTTATTTATTCAGTATTTTCTCTCGTCCAAAATTATAATTTTTGATGATATAGGTTCATAGGGAACTTGGACATGAAAAGAAGTAGAACTTAATTTAATTAAATTAAGTTCTACTTCTTTTCATGTTTAGTTTTTATATTGTCGAAAAATATTGTATAAGTTAACCCGGCATGTTTTAACGTTTAAAAAAAAAAATAGGTACGTGTTCAGATATCAAAATTTCAACTCATTTATCCCCTTTTTTCTTTCCCTCTCTTACTCTTTCAATTCATATTTTTATCTTTAAGAGAAAAAAAGAAAGAAAAAGAGGAGTGAGGGGAGAAAATCGTGTCGGAGTTTGTAATCGTTGCCAATTACAAGTAGTTGGGTATACCTTATAGTAAAAATATATATATACACACTGTATATTACTGTAGTCTGTATTGCACGTTTAAAACTCTCAAGCTTGCTTGCTTGTTTGCTTGCTTGCTTCTTTGCTTCTTTGCTTGCTTGTTACCTCTTAAAAAGCGTCGTCGTCGTCGTCGTCCTCGTCGACTTTCAATCGAAAGGAAAAAGAGAAAGAAAGAAAGAGAAAAAAAAAGAGAGATTGGCTTTCTCGTCTTTTCTTGAGAGTCTCCTCTCGAGAAAACTCGAAGAGAAGAGAAGAGAAGAGACTGACTGAAAGATGCAATCGCTATACTTCGGGTACTGTACTACATTTCAACTAAAGCCAAAGTACTGTCGACAGTAGACAGACTAATACTACCTTTTCTCGATTCGAATCAAACTCTACTGATGTTTAAGATACTGACATAAGCTTTCGATATTATTTGCATTTTAATTGGATCGATCTTTTATTTATAATATAATACTTTTACATTTTATTTTATTTTATTTATTTTATTATTCTTTTATCCTGTTTTTTCCTGACTTTATTTTTAAAATGAAAAATGAAAAATTAAAAAAATTATAATAATAAAATAAAAAATATTTGTGTGTGTGTGTAAATTATTGGTAATAAATTAGAACTTGGTTTAGATTAATTTCATTTACATTTAATTTAAATTGAATTATAATTTTGATTTTATTTGTTTTTTTTTTATCTGTAAAAATATTCTATTAATTTCTAAACAAATTTTGTTATCGATTACTTTCACACACACATATTATATTATAATAAATATTGGAAAAAAAAAAGAAAAAGGTAGGAGGTCAGAAATTTGGAAAATGTTTGTCGACACACGAGTAAATTTGATGATATCGATTGGAAGAAAAATGGAGACATCAAACATGAAATAGTTTGCAACGAACGATAACAACGATCTGTGGCGGATTCGGTCATGTTATCGAATTGAACAATCGGAAATCATTGGGTTTATGAGAGTACGCGATTGTTGTCGTTGATGGTGGTCAACGGAAACTACTCTTCGTAACTTTGGTGTTAGTACAAATTTCACGGTTATATTGTTTCGTGTTATACCATCATCAGGTTGAACTTTGACCATCGATTTATTTATTTCACCTTTACTTGATGAAAATGGCGAAGCTATTTATTTATCAATTCAATTGCTAGGTTTAATCAGTCTCATTATGATTGGTCTGATAAATCTAGTGTTAAATTAATCAATTTTGTAATTTAATAAAAATATATATACTAGGTCTACCGGAAAATATTGTCCATTTTTGAATTGAAAGAAAATAACCAAATTTTCAGACATTTAATAATATTTATTGTAGAATTTTTTTTCCCATCGTTACTTATGACTTCTTGCTTGCGTGATAGCAACTTTTAAATGGCATTTTTTTAAAATAATTTTTTTTTAGAGGCGAAAAACTCAACTAATGCTTGATTTACATCATCTTCAATTTTGAATTTTTTTTCCTGTAAAAAATTTTGCAACGGGAAAAACAAGTGATAATCGAAGGGTGCAAGGTCTGGGGWGCATGSTGGATGTGACAGAATTTCCCAGCCTAGGTCTGCGATTTTCTGACGAGTCGCCAAAATAACATGTCGTCTGGCATTATCAAAATACGGTATGATGTGCTTTC